AGAGGGGGTGGCAGAAAGGGAGGGAGGGGATTTGCGACACTGAGAGTGAAAGAAGATAGATACACACAAAACCATACAATGGTCTGCAATGGCAGAGGAAGTAGGTCGAACAAAGTGTCTCGGTCCATATAGAGTCTCATCACGGGGGTCCTCTTCGGGTGGAGCGGGGTGTTCCATTGCTGAAGAATCCTCTCAAAGTGAAGTCCATCTCGTGCAGAGCGGGGTTCAGGTGGTCCCCTCTGGGTCCAGTCCGGCGGCCGTTCATCTGGTGGGGTCAGAGTACTGGTGGTGGCCCGTGATGTGCTCCATGTAGATGTTGTGGGACCAGCGGATGGTGTCGGACACAATGAGGCAGCACATCAGCTTGGTGTAGCAGCAGGAGACCCAGCAGGCACGCAGCACGCTCTCGTTGCTGGGGTCCCAGGCTCCGAACATTCCCACGATGAGCGCATCGACCATCACGTCGTAGCTGCAGCCACTCAGGATGTCGGCCAGCAGGATGTACTTCTTCCACTTGCAAGCCCAGGTTTCGGTGAAGGCTTGGCGCTGGTTCTTGAAGGGGATGGTCACGTCCATGATCATGACCTTCTTGGCCCCTTTGTTGGTGATCACAATGTCAGGTCACATCTGGCTCTTGCCACCCAGGACAGTACGGTTCACAGAGATCTTCCCTGCTGTGGCCGGGATGGCCCTCACGAAGCGGTCCTAGACAGCGTTGTGGCAGAGCTGCCAGGCTCTGGCGTGTAGCCTGCAGCTGCACAGCACATGGGGGAGAGTCTCTACCATGTAACCACACTGTCAGCACCTCTTGTCGTGGTGGCCAAAACAGACAGCCCTGTTCAGAGGCAGGCAGTTGAGGCAGGCACAGTGGAGGAAGTGCCAGTCCATGAAGTATGTGAAGCTCTGACTGGGCATGAAGTGGTTGCTGGAGTCCCACTTTGAGGTGATGCCAAAGACCTTGCCCTGGTTGAGTTTGGCCCTCAGGTCATCGGCGTACTTGTTTCGGATGGTGTCCTTCAGGAACCACTCCAGGAAGGTCCTCATGTGGGGCATCACAGTGACTCAGTCGGCATGCGGGGCTAGTTGCAGGGACACTCCCAGCTGCCGGCACTCCTCGGTCCAGGTCCAGGCATAGCTGATGCGCTTCCCAAGGTGGTACATGGCATTGTGGGCTCAGCTCCACAGCGAGGCAAAGTCCCCGCCGTCTCTGCTGAACTCGCCCTCCAGCGATCCACTGAGGAAGGTGGACAAGTCACGTCTGGTTGGCTGTCTCACGATCCTCTTGCGGTGGGTCTCCTTGAGGGCACTGGTAGTGATGATACTTATTGTGGGGTCCGAGCAGGTCAGGAGGCAGAAGGCATGGGTGAGCACCGCTATGTCACAGAGGTCTCCCATGCGGTGGACGTTGGCACCTCCCTGCCAGTAGGGGATGTGCAGGATCTCATTGCTGGCCCTTAGCGGCATGTGCAGCCACTTCTTCAGCAGCCACCAGATCTTGGCGTCCACCTTCTTGAGGGGGGTCTTGGGGACTTCCAAGCCTCTTAGCACGAACACGATGCTGGGAATGAGGAAGGTGTTCACCGCATCTGTCTTCTGCCAGGGGGCCAGCAGGGATGAGTCCAGCTTGTGGGTGTCCTGCACGATCCCATTAATGGTCTCTTCTGGCGTCTGCTTAGCCCAGTGGCCGGTGGGTGTCCTCAGGTGGCAGTAGGCCTCGCCGTCGCACAGATGCCTCATTGCCTGGCCCTGGATCATGAGGGTGGAGTCCAGGACACAGCTCTTCTGCCTGCCGTCGATGTGCAGGGAGGCGCATTTGGCAATGTTGAAGCACAGGCCCATCTACCTGGCCACCTCGGACATCACATCCAGCATCTGCTGCAGCTGGGTGGCGTTGAGGGTGAGGAAAACGAGGTAGTCGCCATAGGCCAGGACGCTCAACTTCTGGCCATACAGGTCAAGCCCACTGGGGCTGCCTGCCATGGCTCGAAGGAGTGGTTCCTTGGCTAGGTTAAAGATGATGGCGCTGAGGGGGCAGCCCTGTCTCACCCCCAACTGGATGGGGATCTCTGCGGTCTATCTGTCAGTGGTGCGGACGGTCGTGGTGCATCCGTCGTAGAGTTCTCCTACAGGACCCACAGAGCTAGCCCTGCCTGGGAATGAGGCATTCATGGGCCACATTAACTTAATTTGCAGTGTTTCCTAGGAGAGCTCTGCTAATGCAACTATGAAAGACGTGTGGATCTGGAGTTCAGGATTGTACCCTATTCTTGAGGTCTTCTTTGAAGATGGAAATATGTCTGCAGCTGCTCAGTTACCCATAGAGACCAATGTAATCACCTGTACAGCATGCTCCTGCTTCCAATTAAGTCATTGGCAAAATTCCCATTAAATTCCTACTGTCAGTGGGTCAGGATCCAAGTCCTAAATGCATCAGTAAAGACAATTCGGAAATAAACAGTCCAGACCTGATGGTATCATTGGGCTGGAAATAACTTAGTGCATTATAAATTATATATCCTAAGATGTAATGTAACTGTTGGTTTTGTGCTGTGTTATTACATGACTTACATTCTACTTCTGCTGATTTTCTACTGTCATGATATGTGGCTTTGGATAGGTCTCTACCTTTATAGCGAGGCTTGTACTGTTTCTCATGGCTCTTGTAAGGCTGAAAACCTATGAAGTGCTTTTAGATCTATGGGTAAAAGTTATTACAGAAATGTAAGATGTTAATTAATACTATTTATCTTCATAACTTCCCATATAAAGGAGTATTTTACTAACAAGGATTATACCCTTTTCTCTATTTCCATATTTATACTATTAGAATTATACTATTTCTATAGGCACTGGGTCAGACTCCCAGATCTAGTCACTATAACTATGTATGAAAACATACATGCGTGTGAACCACATAATAAAGTGGGGTTTAAACGCATGGTTTGGGCATTCATTCTGGAAAATTTGGTCCTGAACCTGCAATACTGGCATTATTTAAAATAAAACTTCAGCAAGTAACTACGCATAGCCAAGAAGATCACTAAAAACACCTGTAATATACTGCTTGCTCATGTATCAGAGATTCAGTTGATGACAGAGTTGGAGGCTATATTCTGTCTTCTTTCAGGCAGAATTAAAGAACAGATAGGGAGCAAGGCAAAATGCTACCAGAGAACGTAAATAGCACTTTGTACTTTTAAAGGACTTACCATGTGAGGATCACAATGCTCTTTAGAAATTTTAGTAGATTAAGTAATGTAAATCCACAGTCAGATATGGTAATGTTACTTTTGTTTTAAAGATGATATAACTAAAGCACAAAGAAGGGTAAGGAGCTTGCCAGGATCACTCAGGAAATCCGTAAATGGAATGACAATTTAATCAGCTGAGGACCTCTCCAAGGTTACTTGACTACTGTTCCTGTGCTTTAACCAAAACACTGCTGTTGTTATTCTTTTGCATTTATTGGGCTATTGTCTGCATCAGGGCTTTCCAACTTCTAAGTCCCTGAGAGCCATGCCAGCAGGGGCCTCACGCTGCACAGGCTCTATCAAGAAAGAGACATGGGTGACTGGGCTGCGTGCTGCATGAACACTTCCCCAGCTCCCTGCTGCATCACAGGCCCATATGGGCACCCTTCCCCATGCAGCCCCGATCACCCTCCCATCCACCCTGTGCGCAACCTAGAACTGACCTTCAGCTTCCTGTGCACCGTGCCACACTGCCCCATCCTCTCTGAAGGAGGCAGAAAGCAGCAGCTGGAGGAGACAGGGTGAACCCAGAGGCTCTGGATGCTGTTGCAGCCCGAGTCATGGCAGGAACAGCAGCCAAGTAGGAGCCTGAGGGTCACAATTTACCCCTCATGGGGGCTGCATGTGGGCTGCTAGTTGGATAGACCCAATCTACATTACAGGGTCTGCTGATGCAGTAGCAGTAGCACTAAGGCAGCTGGGTGCCCTGTTGAGGACTTAACTCTGCAATTCATTTTTCTGCCACCAGTTCCTTTGAACAACAAAAACCACCAGTAGGTGACAGAGCTGCATCTGCACTGAGTATTTTTTTCCCCCTTTCCCTGCCATAGTTTTGCCAGCAGGATTTTGCAATATAGACAGGAGCTAAGATAGTACCTCACCTCTCCTCTCATAAAGGCAAACCCACCGTTTCCCAGCTGCTGGGTGAGATATTGTATTTATATGGACCTTTGTTGGTTAACTAACTGTAGAATTAATTAGCTAACAAAATATGCCACATTATATATTTCTAAGCATTAAGATGGTGGGCCAAAGCTATTGCAGTTTATAGTAAGTCTCTTTTCATATGCAAAATATAAAATATTCAGCATTTCCTTATACAGGATGTATGAGGTGTATGGTGGTGTGCCTTTAATATTTTTAATAGAAGTCCTATGTATTTATAATACTACTTTGACATGTACAGCGGTATATGATTGTATCGCTGAAATAGAGTAAGATGATAATCTCTACTTGAAAGCAAAACCATAACTCCTGTGAATTAAACATAAACTATATATAAGCATACTTCTTTCACAAGGGAATAAAATGGTCCCATATAAGTAAAATATACTATGCACCCAGATATATTGTTATTGGTTCACACACTGCTACTTTTTACATTTCAGCTGAGTCCTCTGTGCTTTTGGTGTTCAGAAATAAAGCACAGGAAATAACTCAAAAAGCCTAGAGAGCACCTGGTTGTCTAACTGTGAAGAGCTGATTGAACCTTGATTTTCTAACAACATCTCAGTTTTGGATTGTCTTAACACCAGGCAGTTAGGTTAAATGTACTGATTGGGCTTCTTATGTAAAAAACAATGTCATGTAGCTAGAAATGCTTTAGGTGTATGGTGTGCTATGTTGCATATCTTCTACCTGTTGATGTACAGTATTAATGTACAGAGAATAATTAAAGTATTTATGTTTCTAGCACTGATGTGTTTTTCATTTTGTCTGGCAGTGGAAATCTTGAATGCTCGTCAGAAAAAAGCTGAAGAGCTGAAAAGACTGACAGACCTAGCAAGTCAGATGGCTGAGGCACAACTATCTGAACTACGGGCTGAAATTAAGGTTAGTCTGTGAAGCCCCTTCTTCCATTTGAATATGTTGCCTCTACATAGATACTGAGCATATGCTACCAACCTAAGTTTGGGTCCATGTTATAAATACATAGGCTCATAAGGCAGCTGGCCTTCTAGAGGCTTGGCGGGGTAGGACATATGATCAGAGCTTCCCACAGCACTTCCAATTAATAAGCTGAAGCCAACATGGAGGAAAAGCAGACTGCACCCCATTAAAAGGTGTTGCACTGGCTTTTGTGGTTTGTGTGGCTCAGTACCGTCAGTGCCAGTATTATGTCTGCAAGCTTAAAGTCCAAATAAGAAATCCCGTTTGTTCTGATGAATGATACAAGCTTCTCTTCCCAAGTATCAAATTGAACCTTCAGTCAGGTGCCTCTTCTACAGTGCCCTGAAGAACCAGCTCAGACTGAAGATGACTGACAAAATATAGCTTAGAAACACAGGTCTGTCACTAAGAATGCCTTAGTGCAGATGTGGAGTCAGACTGACAGTGACTTGTCTTACAGAAGGAATTTAGACCATCCATCCAGTGCAGGTTCCAAAGCATCAAGCATTTTCAGATTATAGCCAGTGCCTATGTAAATGAACAAACAACTACCAGAACAGCACACAGCTGGGATAAGCCCTCTTTCTTGCTCTTTCTTTCTATCTGTGCCTTTCCCTTCTGGAGGCATACTTAATAGGAAGGGCTACAAGTTGAATCGTTATTCTATCATCTATCAGAGTTTATACCAAGGATTATCATTTCTCTCTTTGTTATCTGTTGCAAAGGACGGAACAAAGGCACAGAACATTTTTCCCATCGCTCGCACTCTGGGCGCATCTCCCTGAGATGTTGACTGTGGCACTGACTAATTAGAATAATAGGATCATAGAAAATTAGGATTGGAAGGGACCTCAGGAGGTAATCCAGTCCAAACCCCTGCTCAAAGTAGGACAATCCCCAGCTGGATCATTTCAGCCAGAGCTTTGTTCAACTGGACCTTAAAAACTTCCAAGAATGGAAATTATACCACCTCTCTAGGTAACTTGTTCCAGCACTTCACCACCCTCCTAGTGAAAAAGTTTTTCCTAATATCCAACCTAAACTTCCCTTGCTACAAGTAGAGACCATTGTTCCTTGTTCTGTCATCTGCAACCACTGACAACAGTTTAGCTCCATCCTCTGTCGAACCTCCCTTCAGGTAGTTGGAGGCTGCTATCAAATCCCCCCTCAGTCTTCTCTTCTGTGGACTAAATCAGTCGAGTTCCCTCATCCTCTCATAAGACATGTGCCCCAGTCCCCTATTTTTGTTGACCTCTGCTGAACTCTCTCCAACTTGTCTACTTCCTTTCTGTAGTGGGAGGCCCAAAGCTGGACACAGTACTCCAGATGTGGCCTCCCCAGTGCAAAATAGAGAGGAAGAATCACTTCCCTAGATCTGCTGGCAACACTCCTACTGATGCAGCCCAGTATGCCGTTAGCCTTCTTGGCAACAAGGGCACACTGCTGACTCATATCCAGGGGAACATTGTGCTGCTAGGAGGGGATGGGATGGGCCAGACCATGCTGGCTCTGTGTCCTACTGTGTGGGTCCTGGCCTTGCAGCTGGGAACTGCACGATGCCAGGAAGGGATGGGATAGGCTCAACTGGCTCCAAGCTATGCTGTGTGGGTCCTGGCCTTGCAGCTAGGAACCTCGTGCTGCCAGGATGGGATATGCCAGGTTGCAAGGCTGGAACCCACACAGCATGGCACAACACGGAGCCACGTTGGCCTGGCCCAGCCTGCCCTGGCCCATCCCAGCAGCACACAGGTCCCCACTTCATGGCCAGGCCCCCCATCCCCCACCCATTCTTACCTGAATTTCAGCTCTCGGATGATGGAGGTCTGGGGAACAGCCACAGGGTCACCAGGGCAGAAGCCTTTGCTAGCCAGAAGCTTCCAGTCTTTAGAAGCTTCTGGAGGTAGGAGTGGAGTGGGGTGGGTCAGGCTGGAGTTGGGCTGGTTGCATTGCAACCAGAGCCCAAGCTGTTTGCTCCTGTAGCTGATGGGTTGTGCTGCTGGCAGCTCCCATGGCTTGTTGGCTTTCAGACAGGCAGCCAGTAGCAGGTAATAATTGTCTACATTTTAAAGAGGCCCCATGGGCCAGATAGAATGGCCTGGCAGGCTGGATTTGGCCCGTGGGCCATATTTTGCCCTCCTCTGGTGTAGCTTCATCCTCTTCGGAACCACCCTTCAGGTAGTTAAAAGCTGTTTTCCAATCCCCCATCAGTCTTCTTTTCTGCAGACTAAATAAGCCCATTTCCCTCAGACTCTCCTCATAAATCATGTGTCCTAGGCCCCAAATTATTCTCATTGCC